GAAACACACTGAGTAAGGATTTTTTCCCCCATTTTTAGTCTTATTTATTCACCTGATTTAATTACATTTCTCATTCAGCAGGCCGTGTTAATTCTCCAGCTGCAGGTTGTGGTTTCTCTTATTTCCAGGAGCACCCTGATTTGTGCAGGGAACACCTGTAATGCTGCTCTGCGAGGCAAGCCTCTGGTGCTAAACTCAGCCTGTGAGGGCTCACTGTCACAAACACAGACACACACACACACACACACACAGTCAGATATTCCCCTCAACTCTCCTTCAAGGACGCCTGGGGAAGACTTGGAGGACAAAATCACACACTCCCTCTACCAGCATCTCAGACGCGCCGCACTTCTAATGCAGACAGAAAACCTCCTCCAAAGAGACTAGGCACACACAGCTCTCTCCCGCGCAGACACACACTTAATCTTACACACACTCAGAGTTGTAGATACACCAATAGTCTGAAAGGCCTTGCCACCTTTCCATCCATAGGAAAAGCAGGACAGTTTAGTATGTGCCATTTTTCTTTCTTTTACTAATTCTTGCGCTTTCTTGCTCTCAGCTGTTTCAAGATGTTGTGTGTGAGTGTGTGTCTGTGTTTGCATGTGTGTGTGTGAGGTAGAGGGGGCTCTCTGGGACTCTTTGACGACCTCATTCACTCCCTTCTTCCCCCCACCCTGTCCGCGCCACAGTCGACATGCCCAACAATGAGGTTGGGGCGGTGGGGGGAGTCAGACAAAAACCACTGAATGCGTCTTCATTTGCCTGAACTTTTCACACGTCTTTTCCCTTTTGTCGCCGGCCGCCAGTTCACTACTGTGCTGCGAGCCACTCGGCCAGTTTCCGCTGGCGAGACAGCCAACCAAAGCAGCACTTTTCCTCCTCCCTCCTCTCTCTCTGTCAACCCCCCCCCCCCTTTCCACAATGTTAAGCCCATTTTTAGCTTGACATAATCTGAAATGGTACTTAACTGAATTTATGTCTACCTCAGTGCATTAACTTCTGCTATTTCCTCTTTTATGTTGCTGTTTTTTGCAGCGGGTGCAGCGACAGAGGGAGCGGGAGGGAGGGAGAGATTTGAAACTCAGACCACGGAGTAGACAGCCTATCAGTATTCAGTAGAGAAAGTGAGTGATGGAGGGAGAGAGACGGAGGGAGAGGGAGAGAGAGAGAGAAAAAAGAAGGAGGAGGGGGTGATGTATCAATATTCTGAGTAGTGTTTGAGGGCAAGGGGAACGAATAGAGGAGAGGGGACGGGGGAGGAGGGAGGGAGGGAGATTGGTGGGAGAGAGAGTGCTTGAGTGAGTCTCTGAGTGTGATTATTTGTTCAGGTATATGTTTGCATCTTTGATTGAATGTGTTTTTGTCTCTGTGTGTAGATTTGTTAGTCTTAGCATGCATGGACTATGGACAGTAGCTGTATGTAACTAAGTGCCCTCAGTTGCAATTTTTGGACGTTGTACTTTTTAAAAAAAGTATTTCTATTCTACGTGTCATCAAAGGTGTTATTTAATTCAGAGTAGAAGGCAGCAGGCTTTTGCTGACTGGCTAAATATTTCAAATCTTTGTGAACAGAATCTGTTCAAATCAGTTATATGTCTATGGCAGCTGTGATTGGTCAACTCTGGAGAATAGACGAGGACTATACTCATGACAGCCCAGTCCATTAAAAGTGGGGGCTGTAATGCTCAACTTGACCTCTCTATATCCTTGTTTGTTATGTTTGCGTCTTTAAACAATAATGTAAAAACATATTTTAAACAAACTGGTTTAGCTCCGAGCTCTTCATCTGAGTGTCAGGCTTTGCAGAAACCAGTGCTTTTGAACATCATTTCCCTCTTTTGTCTGTGTTGAATTACCAAATTCAAACTCTAAAGATAGTAACACTGCGTCTTGAGCTATACATTTATGTTGAGCCAAAGCCTGATTTGCAACAGTCAGATAACAGCAGGATGTTTCTGTTTGGTAAATAGTACATCCCTGAGAACGTGAGTTAAAAGGGAGTTTTTCCTTCCCAGTGTCGCCAAGTGCTTGCTTTAAAGGAGTTGTTTGATTGTTGGTGTTTTCTATGGATGATTGCAGGCAAGAGATCAAAAATTATAGCGGACATAATTACACATTATTCTTGTCTGCACCTGTCTCTGTCCACAACCGAGCAAAAGACAAGAAAAGAAGAGGTCTGTGATGTGCTTATGTCTCCTCAGCACGAAAGTAGAAAAAATAGCATTGAAAACCTTTCAGAGAAGTTGAAAGCCCGGGGATTAGATACATTCACCTCTTTATTTGAAATTTTGTCTGTCTTTAGTTTGGAAATCCAACCTTACATCATTATATATATACCAGAAAGTAAGGTTTTAGAGGTATTAGGGTAGAGTATGACTGATACCCTTTTAAAATAGGCCTACTTCCGTCTTTATTTGCCTTTGCACAATGCCTGTAATGATCATGTTTACCTCAAAATTTGACCAAACTTTTGGCATGATTGGCAACCCGTCAAGATGGTTCAATTAGTCCGCCTTTTTTATTTGTTTATTTTTATTTAATCATTCATTTTGCAGACAGGTGATGATTTTGTTATTAAATGGGATATGCCAAAAACAAGCAGTCGATGGTCTTGTAGTGAAGTAATATTGGGATAAGCTTCCTAATATAATTCTAATTCAAATCTTTTACACTTTAGAGTGAAATTAATAAATGATCATTGGTTCTTTTGTGATTATCACAGCTTTTAGAGTTTAAAAAGGTCCAGAAACTTTTATATTTCTGAAGTTCTGCAAGTAAGAGTGCCTGCAAGAGACATATTTAATGACATCTTACTCTGTTTTAGTAGAGTAAGATGTGATTAAATATGTAGTGTTGCGAAATCAGTTTTACCCTGGTTTGTTTTATTCCTCGAAGCTTCCAGAGACGGCACTGGACTCAGTAGTCATTTCACAAAACCTTTATTCATCTTTATTCATCTTCATTTAAGCGTGCATCTTCTAGAAGGGAAGACGAGGCCGGTGTCCCTCTGCAAAATCTTCATCCCTTTGTTAGTTACAGCCAGCTTTATAGAAGCGACCCCATCATAAAACCCCCATGGTGTGCTGCAAACTCTGTGTGTCTGTGTGTATGCACGAGCACGTGAGTGCCTGTGTGTGCGCGTACGCGTACCTATGTGAGTGCACGTGAGTGAATGTATGTGCGTACCTGTGTGTATGTGTGAGTGCACGTGAGTGAGTGTGCATGTGGATGTGTGAGTGTAACAGTTTAAGCGCTGTGTGTGTGTGTGTGTGTGTGTGTGTGTCTGCGTACGTGACTTCCTGGGGGTCATAAAAGTAACCTCACCCAAGCTACACCAAATTCCTTTAGACCACATACAAAACAGAGTTAACATATTACAAATATTGAGACCACCACTCTGCATCCACTGGGTCGTTGGCCTCTTGTTGTCTTACATTTACAGATCAGGTGGAGAGTCTCCTGCGAACCTACTTCTAAGTTATAACAATTAGGAGTTTTTATTAAAGGTACAAGCATCAGCAACCCCCAACTGTAGCTTCCTGACTTCTTTTATTTATGACACCAGACCCCAGTGTCCATAAATTCCTTTCTCTCTAAACAATTACACACACTCTCAGGCCACAGCTAAACCAAACTGAAACACAGACCAATCCTTCCTTATTACTGTGATCTAAACAAATTTAACACATTACATTCTAATAATTATTTTTTTGTACTCACTGTAGTTTATGCTTTCCAGTATGCTTTCAAGGTAAATACTTTGAACTTAGCAGCTCATTTGTGCATTAGTTTGTGAACTTTATGGAGGTTTACAAAATGTAAGGTCTAAGTCATCATCCCTGAGCCTAACCTTAACCCTATGCTATTACAATATTAATTCTTTGGGTTTTTTTTAATTGTTCTCCAAAGTCTTGTTAATCAGAAAACAAAAAAAGTAATCATTCCAACATGCATAAAAACTATTCTTTCCAAAAAACATCCTTTTTTGCTTTTCTCCACAACAGTGTTATGGTTCTGCTAGTCACTGAAGGTGACTTGCCTAAAATAACCTCAGTTAATCACAGTGTGAAGTAAAGGATATGAGGTTTATGTCTTAAAAGACAAAGCGAAAGTAGATAACATAGTTACAGATGATGAATAGCAGGATCAGGAAAGCGTGTCGTTTCTGTTCGTGTCTTTCTTTTAACAAGTCAAACTTTTAAACACAACTTTGATCTTTCGCTAACCTTAGCCAAGGTAGCTCTTATCTTAAAAAATAGTGATGTCACGCTTGTGGCCGCTTTGATTGATTAGGACCTAAGCTGTTTGTTTTCCGTGTTTTTAGAGATGGAAAAAATTGAAAGCTGAACACGTCAAAAGTAAACATCAGAAAAATGTTTAGTTTAGTGTAAAACAGTGAAATATTGGAGAAAATTACTTACAATTTCTGGGGTACTACTTATTGTTCAGCTGAGGATAGTTTATGTGTGTGTGTGTGTGTGTTTGTGTATGTACAGGACGGGGAGTCATTACAATATGTTTGGATGTGATGGAATCTCCCACTTGTTTTAGTCATCCTCTCTCCATCTCTTTCCGTCTCTCTTTCCTTCTTTTACTCTGGCTGCTAATCAGCATTTGAAAGGCAGCTTTGACAGTGAGAAAGAAAGTGAGGGGGGCACATGGAGGTGGGGATAAACGAAAGCATGAGACACAGCGAGTTAGGGGGGGAGAGCCAGCCAGAGAGAGACTGAGGCGAGGGGCTGTACAAGCATGCCTTTTATATTTACTAGTGACTGAGAGAGAGAGAGAGAGAGGGAGGGAGGGAGAGAAAGGGAGCAGCTGAAGGCAGAGACAACTGGTGTGCACGGCTTTCCCAAGAGGAAATGAAAAGAAAGAAGCTCAGCAAGGAGAATGAATGAGTGAGCGGGAGAGAGGAAGGGTGGGAGGGAGCATGCTGGCTGGAGAGAGAGTGAGTGAGAGAGAGAGAAAGAGATTCTCACACTGGCTGTGTCCTAATCCGAGTCCATCTCAAAGAAGCAGCGGAGCAGAGTGTTAGTGAAGTGAGTCTGAGAGCCGAGGAGAGCTACATCAGCTAGCTCACTCCACTTCGCACAAACACACACAGACACACGTTCTCCCTCTCCTTCTCGCGCTCTCGCTCTCTCCCTCTTTCACAAACACACACACACTCTCCGTGCAACGGGAGTCCACGATGTGTCCGGCTGCACGGCCACGGCTTTTGTGAAAGTGAGGGGATTGCCGCTGCCCCTGTCCCAGCCCCCTTGGCTCACACACTCAGTGTTTGCCTGCCGTGTTTAAGCTCGAGGTGCTGGTGGAGGTGTGGAGGGAGGGGGCACTGCCAGGGCAGAGCCGGGGCACCGAAAGGGAGGAGGAGGAGAAGAAGAAGACGAAGAAGAGAAGGAGGAAGAAGAAGGAGACAAAGTGGATCAGGTCGACAGCGGTGGATTGAATGTTGGAAATGCCCGTCAGGTGAGTAGATAATGGACCTAACAACTTACAGTCAGAATACACATGCATGACCACACACACACACACACACACACACTGATCACATTGTAAAGTTCTGTGACTAGAAGGAATAACTGTGTCTCCTTTTATTTAATCATTTGGTTTAAAATGACTGAATTTTGATCTGTTTGTTTGGTGTTTGCTATGATTTTTAAATGATTTGTACAAGATTAAATTTTATCAAACTTTTATTGTATTTTGTTAAATCTACTTCAAAAGTACTTTCCCCCCCCTTTAGATGAAAGATAAGCTTGGTAGCCATGGTGATAACATTTGTAGCCAGTCTCGTTTAGGATGGGCGATAAATGTTTTAGTTGATTTCATTTATATTGCTAAATTAGTCCATCATCAGTGTGGTTGTTATTACAAAAATAGAAAAAGGACACATTGGTAAAACTGACCGTATCCTTTCAACCTTTTTTACTGGAGTCTGTTTGTACTGTGTCAGCTTGTTTAAATCTATTTAGTTAGAGAAAAGAAAAACACAGAAATGTGCTTTTTTTTTTAAAAGTCTAACTTTATAACATTTATTATGAATAATATTAATACACATCAAGCATACCGCTTCCCAACAAACTTCTTCATCAGTTCAGTTAAGCTGGCAGGCATTTTCACTCCAATCTTCATTTTTTTCAGATAAGCCGAATAATTACGCATGTTTATGTTTTGTGCTGAGTGCACCTCTTTGCAGATTTCCTGTGCTTGAGTGTGTTTGCGCGCGTGTGTGTGCGTGCCATTTGAGATATGGAGGCACAGAGTGAACGGCTGCCTGCCCGTCTCCACCTGCAGAGGCAGAATTGGTCACAGTTTACTGGCTTGGTAACATTCGCTGCCTTCAGGGTGTTTGCAGCAGGTGGTCCAAATTGGCAGAATGACTGTGACAAACGCACGGTGTTCACTGCTGCTGTAAAGTAAATAACAAACTATCACAGAGTGTTTTCGTTTTGTTTTTTTTCTTTTTTCATAATTTTTTTTTCTGTTATTGCGCTCAGAGGCTTGTCACTGGAAGAAAAAGTCAGATTACCAGAATAGAAAAATGCGCATTTATGAGTATGTGCGTCGACGGGCAAGTGCAAAAATGGGATTTGTTTGATTTCCTGCCAGATTCAGTTTGTAAGTCTGCACTCCTCCATATGCGGATATTTGCCTTGAGTGCTTATTTTGTATACTCTCCTTCAGCATCACTCTGAAATCAGTGGCATGTGTTTGCTATAAATTCTGCTCCGTCTCGTACGCCACCTAAAGCATCATTTGCAGCCACACCTGCTGAGATTGCAGGTGCTGCAGATAAAATCCAACCAAATAAGTACGTTCAGTGCAGACTTCCTCACTCGGGTGTCAAAATGTTACCAGCAGTTAGAAAAAAAAAAGTTACCGTCCACACTGGTGTAATTTTTCAGTTTTCCCCCCCACTTTTAAAAAATCGGCATTAAATGAGTAAAGACTGGATCAGAACACTGACATGAAGCAGGGTCAGGCCGAGTCATTGCATGAGCACGGTACAGTTTATACCCCGACCCACTGAGCCACCAAGCTTCCCCATCCGTTTCACTTCTTGCGTGTGCGGGACGCTTTGGTCCTGACCTACCTTCGGGCCTTTTTTATTAGTCCCAGATGCAGGTTTCTTCTTCGGCTTTTGCATTCAGGGAGCTGCAGTTTATGCCAAAGGGCAACTGTGTGACAGAAGCTGACTCGGATTACTGTGTGAAAGTGGAAATGTTGGTAAGAGCCCTGTTTGAAGACTGCAGAAAAAAGAAACGGGGAAATGTGATAAAGGCTGCTCTCAGATCACCTCTTTTTCAGCTCATCAAAGATCAGGGCTGGCGTGCATTTCTGATGTTTTTCTTTGTTCGCTTTGCATAAACGATGGTCACACGAGTGGATAAAATTGCTCATTTCAGAAGCGCAACAGCAGGTAGGCATTTTAGGAATTTATCTTGGTTAGTAGACAGAGGCAGGCAGCCACTTTTTTTGACTCATTGACAAGTTCTCAGGTAGACAGACACCTCGCCTCGCCTCTCCCTTCCTCTTTCTATTCCTCTCTTGATATTTTTGTCTCTCTCTGTTGCTCTCTTCCACACACAGACACACACCAACGTGGTCAGTGTGTGGCGTGTTGACAGACAGCTGCTCACACACTTCCAGCTCCCGTCGTGCGTGCGTGCCAGTGTATGTGTGAAGAGCGTTGACAGACAGTGTGTGGGTCTGTGACAGAGGGTGTCAGCGCAGTGTCAGAGAGATGTGTTTAGTGTCACACTCTGCTGACCTGATCTCCGGTCGGACTGTCCACTCCGGCCCCCGCTGTGGCTCCTTACATAACCCCTGCTGTCATTCACACACCAGCCTGAAGGGATCCACCACTCTTTTGTGCGCAAACACTCGCAGACACAGTTATTTAGTGATATGCACACAATCTATGGATGTCCACGTTTGCAGACACTTTCCCTCTAGATGGAATACCAGATCAGGTGTGGGCTTCAGAGCGTAAATCCTCACTCTTTCGTGTCTTTTTCTTTACAATCTCTACTTTATAGTTTAAGTAGAACTTACGCAAAATATATCTGGAAATGTACAAAAAAAACCAAAACGCATTTGTGTGGAAATATAGCATGAGCCCGGCGGGTATCCTGGTTCCCCCAAGTGTACTGCCAGACACCTACACATCTTGTTCAACGGTGCTCTGAACTCTGACATTTGCACCATGCTAATTGATGTGTCTATATTAGCATGTGGACTTCTCTGTGCTGGTGTGCAGAGCTAGAGTGTGCTTTCAAGTCCTGGTTTGAGCACACACATTGCTGTTTGTGTGTGTGTGTTGGAGAGATTGAGTGACCCTGTGTGCTGTTCTCTGGCCTGTGGTTATTTGGAGGTCAGTGCTGATGTGGTCTCTGCCTGCGGGAGTGGATTTACCATCTTCAGCCGTATAGAGAGCTGCATCCACTTGGCTGACTCTTCCACAGCGAGAGGGAGAAGTTTCTGCCTTCTCTCTCCCTTTTGGTGTTCGCTCACTATTAGCTTAGATTTTGGGAGCGCTTGAAAAAAATAGGAAACGCTGCAATATGTGGGAATGTTATCAGTATTCCCCTTACATGTGAGCACACTGACATTCTTTTTAGAAAAAGTATTTGAAGTCTCACTTTTCACCTCAAGCCTTCCCTAGCATTAATGTTGGAGTATTTAACCCCAGAATAGACTGCATTTATTATTTAACCTTGTGCTCGGGGGTTTCTGTTTGAAGCATATAAATCATAAAGGTCAAAGATGGTTAACTTAATGATGGACGGAACATTTTAACTAACTTACTTAATGCAATTTTTTTTACGGCATTTTCCCCTCAGCCATATCCATGTTTTAATGTTTTGTACTCCTGTTAATACTTTGTAGTTGCTCTGGTGCACTATTTAAATATCTAGTGTATTAAATTGGAACTGAAATATTATTCCTGCCATATGCAGACTACTTTTACCAACAGGGAAGCCTAACCCTAGAACTTGTTTTTCTCCTATTGTAGGACTAAAGTATTTGAAACATAACATACTTTCATGCACTATTTGGATTATCTTGTATATGTGGTTGCTTCTATAGCAATATGACTGTAGACCTTCGGACTCAGCAGACGGCGGGTCTTTTTCATTAATTGAATTACTAAGAAAGGGATTGCATTCAGTTCGTATGATGAAAAAATAAATAAATCTGCAGAGCAATCTGCAGGGGATACATCGTTTTTGCTGTAAATATGGTTTTCTGTGTAATGGTAGCTTCAGCTTCATATTTGATACAGTGCAGGTGCAGTCAAGCACTCCTTTTGTGTACACTTGGGGCCAAGTGAGACGGTAATTATGACAGGCATGGATTGGATTCTGTGTATCTCCACACCGGTTAGGAGTGGACATCAAAGAGCGCTCACCAAAGCCTTCTGCAATAAAAGAGGAGAAAGACAAAGATATTGATTAGGGTGAACATTAGTAAATCTCTTTCTCTCTCCTTTTTTTTCCATCTTTTTCTTTATTTGTCTATCATTTCACTACTACTCTCCCTCTCTCTCTGACTGTCTGATTTGCCTCTATCTGCCTCTACTTATGCTCTCTCCATCCCCCCATGCCTTCCCCATCCACCCCCTCTCCTTCTCCAATCATTTATTTATTGCTGATCTCTTTATTCTGTATTTGTTCGGTTTAGGGACAGTCCACGCTGTGTACGATGGTGTTTCACTCTCACGAACACACGGTGCCGTTATTATCATTCCTTTACACCCGTTCCAAACACTTTTTCTTCCTCCTCATCAACGCAGAGATACCTGGGGGCGGGCGGGGTCACACTGGTCCAATCTAAGGCCGTATTGATTCCATTAGATAATTAATGATCCAGCCAAGGGCCAGGGAGGAGCAAAGGAGAGGTTATAGGAGAGGGATGTGTGGTGAGGATGATGGGAGACACAAAATTGGTGGATGGGTGTGTGTGTGTGAGGGAGGGGTAGCTGCAGACGCCAAGGCCCTTGAGAGTTGGAGAGAACCTTGGGTTGGGAATCATCCAGAGTCGTCAAGGTCAATCGGAGCCGGAGCTCCGATACGGAAGCAGAATGCCGAGCGAGTTTGGAATATGGAATGCTGAGCGAGAGAGGAGGGAGAGAGATCTTCATGTCCAGAAGCCGCCGATTGATCAGCAGCTGAAAAATTGTACATTAAAAAGTCTTTTGACTTCCAAATCCTGAGGTCCAACCAGGGCCGTAATGCATGATAAGTAGTTTTCAGCCCTCCAACCAGAATACCAAACTTCATCTCCCCAGACGCTCCAGACACTCATTTACAACTACTCAACAACATGAAAGGCAAGATAGAAAACTAGCTACATCAAATATTCTGTTCATGTTATTTCCAACCGTGTTTTCTACATCTTCCATGATATTGAACGTTCTCGATTTGATCAAATTTTATTCACAGGAATGCTTCATCACTGTTGTACTGTGTATATACTTTACTTTTACCTTTAGACTTGGATGAATGAAGAACAGAGGAGAGCTGTCAAGAAAGCATTATCAGTTAAATTTTGATTGCACTGAAAACTGAACTGCATATGTCTTAAATGGGCCTTGAATGTTAAAACCTTTTTTTTTGTATTTAAGTGGGGGAAGCTTTTATTCAGCTGTGGGCATGAAAACGGAGGAGATCGAGAGGTTGAAAGACAACACCAGGCTTTTTACAGCTTTACAAAAATAACTTGTGAGCACATGGCAGATGAGAGCTGTCATCTTTCAGAATTTTCCATCATTTGTAAATTACAGGAATAGTTGCAAGTTCAACAAAGCTTTTGTAGGTTTACTTGATGTAAATGTGTAAAACTCTGCTTGGATTTTGCAGATTTTGCAGCCCTGATTAGCCTGACCTTCGCAATAGGCCATCGATCAGTATTTGCTCTAAAATGTACTAAAAATAATACAGTTTTTTCACTTATTTTAAGCGAAAGAAAAAAATCTAAAAGTGCAAAAGGTAACATTAAGAGCCTCTGCGTGATGCACCAGGACAGCGGCATCATACACATAATCTGTAAGACTTTCATTGAGGAGAATGAGGTTCTACTCCCATTAAGGAGTCCTTGTTTTATACTTAACTAGGTTTTTTTTTCCTGTAAGTTTTCTTTCAGCTACTGGTTGGTAACAAAAGCCATGGCTAAGACAACAAAACTCCTTGGTTAGATCTAGTTTTGGTTCTAACAGATATTTTTACATCATTTAGCGCATGAAAAAGCGCCTTCTCTATTTTCAGAGTTCCATCTTTAGATGAGTTGATTACAGTTGTAAAACATGACAAACAAACAGAGTGAGGCAGAATTTTATTTGCCTTGACATGTAACTGAGAATGCAGTAGCTGTATGAGAACATCGTTTTTAGTAGCACAGCGATACAGAAAGCAGCAGAGAGAGCAGGAAAGCAGCAGTAAAGACTCTCACTCTGAGCCGAAATAAAATAATTGCACTTAAGTAAGGTAATTAACACAAATAAAATAGTTTTTCGGTGCACCGCCTGAACACTCTGGGTTACACTCCCACTTTCCCACTGACTCTTGTCTCCTTATAAACACAGGGAGGTCCAAGGGTTTCAAAGGGAGGGTCTCACACACACTAACGTCCTCGCAGCCCAGCTAGGGAGGCAGCCCAGAGTGTGACTTTGATTGTTTGCGAAGGTCACCATTATTCTGCTGTACAGCGCAAACAATTCTTCTAAAATAATTCTTTGCTGTGTTGTTAATGTATACAACTCTTAAAACAACCTTTTACATATTTCTTTGATATTTTTTAATCCCCAAAATTTGTGAAAAATCCTCTGAAACTGTTGTTTTTATTGTAAACTATAAATCGCACAGGCTCGGTCCTGCTCTTCCCCTTTTTACATGAGTGCAGTGTGCATGTAGTCTCTAGTGGGCAATGAGAACTCCTCTGCCTCCACATTGGCAGTCTTGGCCAGCCTCTGTATTGGGCCCCAGGGGTTGGGGAGATGAGGCATAAAACAACCATGTCTCTACCTAGGGGAGCTGGTGGCATGGCAGTGGAGCTATTGTCTGTCGGCGTGCTGTTTGACTTAAATGTGTTCATTTGCCTGATGCCCCTGACTCCCCGTGGGGAGGGGCGGCCCGGGGAAAGGAGGGGCACGCTAACGAACCTCTGACAGCTGGAGGCCCTAATTAAACGTCCCTGCTGAAAATAAACAGAGCAGGAGCCAAGCAAGCAGCCAGAGAGGAGCGCACTGCAAACAGCGGCTGTGAGCGCTCGCCGCAGTGCCCTCCTCTTCTGTTGCTGCTGAGGCTGAGCCAAGAGTGCACGGCTCTATAGGGTAGGGGTCTCAAACGCACACACTCAGGCTGGCACACATGCACCACACTTATGAATATGGAGCACTGCAGCAACATTGTGAACACCTGCGGTCACACTTGATACAAGTTGATCTCTACAGCTGTGGGCACAGTATTTTATTTTTTTATTTTTGTTACTCCCAGTGCTCTCAGAAGTTACACTTTTCTTTTTCATAAATTTCCCACTGTGCCATGACAGAATAAGTTGACTCGCTTCTCTCGAGTGGGGTTGTTTCACACTCTCCGTCTAGATGACACTTCTGACATTCAGAAGCCTGTTGTGCTGCTAGCTAGCTGGAGCATTAGCAGTCAAAGTGGCGGGGTCTATTTGGGTGAGTGCATTAATGGGCCGACCAACCAGCGACAAGGTTATGAGGCTGATTGAATAAATACTGTGGAGGTCCCTGTCCATTACGCCCCTGTGTGTCTGCCCAGATAGAGAGAGAGAGAGAGAGACAGAGATGGAGAGATAGTTTGAGACAGAAAGATGAAAGGAGAGATTAGATAAGCACAGATAGGGTCAATTAAGAGATAAACATACAGGTATAGGTTGAAGAGAGGCTTCCGCCTGTGTGCGTGGTGAAAAATTGAGAGTAAATTGCTTCCTGTCTGTGTCTCCTTTTGATCTCTTTGTCCTACTGTACACAGCCCAATTTGGCATGTAGTGCATTTATCCTGGCGAGGTGGAGAAGGTGACAAAGGTGAAGTTGTTAGACAGAGGTGCAATGCCCTCTGCTCGACCCTGTCTTCTCTCCAGCAGACTCTTGGAAAAGACTGTCAATGTTGCAGGCTGGTAACTTTAGTATCTATCTATCTATCTAGATATCTATCTATATCTATATCATATATATATATATATACATATATACATATACACACACACACACACACACACACACGTAGAAAAATATTTAGTATACACATCCAGAAATGCATACACTATTATATATTGTACATATATTTATTAGTTTCAGATGTAGCCATTCTTGTATTTGCTGG